CTTGCCAATCCGAATTGGACAAGGGGTGGGGCTGGCGCCCCCCCTTTCCCTCTCCTACTCCCTCTCCCTTTCCCCCGTTGCTACTCCGGAAAGAAGGAAAAAAAGGGGGGGCGCCAAATCCTACTAGGAGTGGAGTCCTAGTAGGACTCCCCCCCCATGGTGCTTGCCTCTGGTGGCCGGCCTCCTCCCTCCTTTATATACGTGGGCAGGGGGCACCCCAAAGGAACAACATGGTCTTAACCGTGTACGGTGCCCCCCTCCACCATTTACTCCTCCGATAGTATCACCGTAGTGCTTAGGCGAAGCCCTGCGCGGATCACATCACCAACACCGTCATCACGCCGTCGTGCTGACGGAACTCATCGACTTCATCGACACTCTGTTGGATCAAGAGTTCGAGAGACGTCATCGAGTTGAATATGTGCAGAACTCGGAGGTGTCGTACGCTCGGTACTTGAGCGGTTGACTCGAGAAGACATTTGACTAGATCAACCGTGTTAAGTTAACGCTTCCGCTTTCGGTCTATGAGGGACCGTGGACACGCTCTCCCCCTCTCGTTGCTATGCATCTCCTAGATAGATCTTGCGTGAGCGTAGGATTTTTTTTGAAATTGCATAAAGAAAACCGTTACATGAAAAGAACCGTTACAAAAACCGTTACATCGTTGCTATGCACTTTTTAGGTTTTGGGTTATTAATAAATTATCGGAAATGTTAACGCCCATACGTGTGGGCGTTTGCATCTTGCCCACACGCGTGGATCCGCGTCCGTTCGTGAGCACACGAATCTTAGCATGTTTCTAGTGCCATGTAGGACTGGCCTGGTGTGTGGGCGTTCACCCGGTTGCCCACACGTCCGTTTCACCACACAGGAGGGGTTGGTGTGTCGGCGTTCAGCAGTTCGCCCACACGCCACCTTGCACGCACACACAAGGGCTAGTGTGTGTGCATTTGCCATCTCCCCCGCACGTCCGTTTCCTCTCCCACACCCAAGCTGCTAGTTGCCATGTGTTTTGCAGTGCACATGGCAACTGCCCCTAGTGTGCTTTTATAAGCAGGTGGCAACTCTTTTTTACCCGAGTTGCCATGTGTTTTGCAGGGTACACGGCAACTGCTTAGTGTGCACGTAAGCAGATGGCAACTCTCTTTTACCAAGTTGCCATGTGTTTTTGCATGGTACATGGCAACTGCCCTAACGTGCACGTACATGGCAACTGCCCTAACGTGCACGTAAGCAGATGACAACTCTTCCTTTTACATGGCAACTGCCCTAGCATGCTTGTGAGCACATGGCAACTCTTTCAACTGCCTAATCTTCATCAACTACATTAGATCAGACCATATATGGCAACTGCAGTTGAGCAACCATGGCAACTGCAGTTGTCCGACATGGCAACCGTAGTTCAGCGACATGGCAACTGCAGTTAAACGAACATGGACGAGAGTCTGGACCATGGCAACTGCGGGCACGTGGTGACCGTCACGCGTGGCGTGCGGGACCAGGAGGTACAAGGCCTGACATACGGGCGTGTGGGCGTTATCAACTTCGCCCACACGCACGTGTGTGAGAGGGATCAGGAGGAAAAAAAAGAGGTGTGTGGACATTACTTGTTTTGCCCACACGTAGGTGTGTAGGCTGTTCCTCTTATACACCACACAAAATATGTGAGCGGACTCCCTAACGCCCACACGTGTGGCACTTATCAGTGTCCTAAATTATTAAAAGAACCGTTACATGAAAAAAAAGAACTGGCGAGCCAGGCAGCCCAATCAGGTCATGGACCGGTTGAACCCAACCAAGTAGGCCCGACCCCTCACCCTCGCTCCTCGCTTCTTCCCATTTCCTCCGACCCCCACCCAAACCCCACGAGCTAGCGCACCATGGCGTCGCCGCCGCCGCCGCCGCCGCCGGTCAACCTCATCGACGATGTCGTCGCAGAGATTCTCCTCCGCCTCCCGCCAGACGAGCCCGAGCACCTCTTTCGCTCCGCCCTCGTCTGCAAGCCCTGGCTCCGCGTCATCTGCGAGCCCGCCTTCCGCCGCCGGTACCGCGCGTTCCACGGCGCCCCTCCGCTCCTCGGCCTCCTCCACAAGACCCAAGTCTGCGACGGAGACCCCGCCGCGCGCTTCGCCTCCACCACGTCGATGCCCGACTTCCCCCACCCAGGCTCCGACGGCCGCCGCACGCGCCCTCTTGACTGCCGCCACGGCCGCGTCCTCATCCACATGCTGCAGGACCCGGAAGTGGATTTGCTCGTCTGGGACCCCGTCACCGGCGACCACCACGTGGTGCCCAATCCGGACATCGACGTTATGATCTACACCGCCGCCGTATTCTGCGCCGCCGCCGGCTGCGACCATCTTGACTGCCACGGCGGCCCCTTCCGTGTCGTCTTCCTGGCAACTGATGGCAACGACGACGTCGTCAAGGCGAGTGTGTACTCATCGGTCACAGGTGTGTGGAGTGCGCCGGTATCTCTCGACGATAGCTGTGAATGCTATGCCCGGCACAAGCGAGATGCAACTGCAAAAAGAAGGTACTACATACCCTATGTGCAGCCTAGGCGAGTAGCCGCAATTGGAGATGCAGTCTACTTCACACTTTCGCGGTCTAGTGCCATTGCCAAGTATGACTGCGGCAAGAATCGCTTGTCTGTGATTGACCCACCACCACCAGATGCAGAAGCGTACAATGGTTTCATTGCCCTCATGGTCATGGAGGACAATTCACTGGGGCTCGCTGGTGTTCAGGATTTCAGTCTGCATCTCTGGTCAAGGAAGGTGAAGGGAGGTACAAAATGGGTACAGTGCATGGTCATTGACCTGGAGAAAATCATGCCCATGGACAAACCCCTCAAAGGCAATGGAGCAAGTGTGGTTGGTTTCGCAGAGGGTCTGTGTGTCATCTTCGTCAGAACAGAAGGTGGCTTATTCACGATCGAGCTCAAGTCCGGACTGGTGAAGAAGGTTCATGAACCTGGGGTCTACTTTTCCGTCTTACCCTACATGAGCTTCTACACTCCTGGTATGGTACTATTGTCCTTCATTTTACAGCTTCCATAAGTTTGCTTAGTTGGTTGGTTCTCGTTTGTGAACAATTAGTCAATCAGTTACATTGCAATTGCAAGTAATATTTGTTAGTTTGTATACCCGGGTAGATCTTGCCAGAGGCGAATTTGTGTATGCTAGATAAAACTGAACATATGACATTTGAAAACAGAGCATGATTTTTGTTATGAGATGATCTGTTAAGGACCAGGATGATATGCATTGGTTGAATTGCTGAATATGCATACAGCCTTGTCAATCTAGTATTTTCCTGTTACCTTGCTTGGAAAAAAAAACTGTTATTTCTGGCATAGCTAAAAGCTCACATCTCAAGCTCAGTCTTGTAACCTTTGTAAACACCACTAGCACATAGCTCACCAAAGTGAAATGCTGAGTAAGAGTTGGCTATGAGTTTTCTGCACGGTATCTTCTCAGATCATGGCATTGTTACCATTAGCAAAGATCACCTGATCTCTTAGTCTGCCTTGGTTGTTTTCTTTTAGATTTTCCACTACCAAGTCTTTATTTTATTTTTAGTAGTTTACACACAGATGGTGCAGGTCAATATGATCAATTTCATGCTGATCATAATATTGAAAAGTTGGGTTTCTGTTTAGCATGTCAGTCATATTTCTGTTACTTCCTGGCTAATGCTCAACTGAGCTACTTGGAACTAGAATAGTGTGTAGTCTATCTGTCTGCATTCCCTTTTCATGGAATTTTTATATCAGGTTCAGTGTTGGTCTGATCTTCATCCCGGGATGTCAAGTAGCAGTATCACTGTCCAGTGGCGGAGCCAGGAAAAAGTTATCAGGGAGGCCGGGTGATGCTAAAACTGATCGAGGAGGGCCAAATCTTAGAAAAATGAGTTTTTAGCATCAAATAACCAGTAATTATGTACTGTTTATAGAAAAATTAGCTTGAAATCCTGTTTGTTAGGGGGGGCAGGGCCCCTGCTGGTCCCCCCTGTCTCCGCCACTGTCACTGTCAGACTTTTTGGACAAACAAATGGAAATACAAAATCCATGTCACAATTTGATTTCGCAGCAATATATTCATTATTTTTCATAGGTCGAAAACATCGTCTAACAGGTTGAAGTCAGATAAGAACTTGAAAATTTTGTGTCAAGGTTATGCTGTCATTGAGCAAAAAGGCACCTCTGTGGTCATTTGTGAGTTATGGATTCAAGTCTTGTTATCCTTGTGCTATTATATGGACCGGTCCATGGGAAGCTGGGGCAATTGCATCATTTCTACTTTTCTCTAGAGCCATTGTTGCTTTTTTTTAAAAAATTGAATGTTGTGCGTAGTTGTATTAAAGAAGGGATTAAATGTCCATACAAGGAAAGCTAAAAAGAGAAGGGTGGAGTATGGGAATGGAAGGGAAATGCCGAAATAGGGAAAACATTATTCTAAGCCTCTCATTACAGTCCATACCGAGAGAAAGAAAATAATGACTACAAACTCGTGCTGGATATTGCTAAATATTAAAACAACCTCGTGCTTATCCGTTGTCCTTGCATTCTCTTTACTGCGTTTATGTGTTTGTTTGGTCTGTTTGTTCTGTTTGTCAACAATGTCATACGGTAATTAACAGTTGTTATCTTGACATAGAGATGTAGCCAGTCCATTTGTGTGTGCTAGTAGTGCAAACTGAGAATACTATTACTTGGCATGGGAAACCTACTCAATTTGAGTCTCTGAGATTTGACTTGTTATGGACTACATTGGTAAAAAATTATCAAATATGCATCCAGAGCTGTCGAGATTGTATTATTATGTTGCTACTTTGTCTCAGGTTTTTCTTAGAATCATTCTATTATTTTCTGGCACATGGTGTGTATATCAAATCAAGCTGTAAATGGTAAGTTGGGATGTTGGTTTTGATCTGTGTGAATGGTATCTTTGCAGACCGTGGTAGATTGTTATCGCTGGCAAGGCTCACTGATGCCTGATGCGCCACTCAAGGGCAAGACCTGGCGAATTGGACGTCCCAAACTGACCTTAATTCTGCTGCTGGTGGCTTCCTGAAGTCTTGATGAAGAGCTACTGCTGTCAAATCCTTTTATTTTCCGTTTAGTTGTATTCTCTGGTGACAGGTAGACCCA